ACACCTCCTCCCGTTAGCCGCGGCGACGGCGCACCTTGTCGCAGGTTCGGAACGAGCAGCTCGACGCCACGACCATTGCAGAACTTTAGCTCCATGATCGTGCGACCGTCTCCTCTCCTGACGCATCAACCGTTTTTTTTTCCCCCCCTGGCCGAAGCAAGAACGCCAAGGTTCGGCGTCGTCATGAGGTTCTTGTCGCTGTGTTCCGCGGCCCTGCGACGAACAGACAATGAACAATGCGTGAACAAGGAGCATTGTATGAACAAACAGCTGTCGGCGAAAGCAGCACGCCAAGCACGTCTTGCGCGTCGGCATGACGGTTCTTGCATCGCTGTGTTCCGGACCCTGCCACGACGCGAAACATACAGCTGAACATTACGATGAACAACGTGAACAAACGGGGAGGCTGCCAATGAAAACCATTCAGTGTCGGGCCAAAGCAGACGCAAAGTTCTAAGCGGACGTCATGACGTTCTATGTCGCTGTTGCTTCCGCGACCCTGCCGGAAACACTAACCAGTGAACTATGCGTGAACAAAGGCGCATGCTGATGAACAACAATGACATCAGCGTCGGGCCGACAGCAGTACGCCGAGGTTCGCCGGCTCGTCATGAGTTCTTGTCGCTGTGTTCGCCCGACCCTGCCGAACACATACAGTGCAACAAGTGGTGAACAAGAGGTAGTGATGAACAACAATGAAACATCAGCGTCGCCGCGAAGCCAGCACGCCAAGGTCGCATCGTCATCTAGTGCTTGTTCGCGTGTCGCCAACCCTGCCGCGAACATACAGCTGAACAACGGATGAACAATTGGTGAACACACAGGCTAAGACAAACCATAGGGCCGTGTGATAAACCCAAAATCGAATTGGGCCCGATAACAGTAGGCGAACAACACAGCTTTTTCTACTACCTGTGCCCAGCTTTATAACCCTAACCCTAACCGAACCCTAACCCTAATTACGTATACCCTACTCCTAACCCAGGGTGCGAAATTAACGGGAGTCCGCAGTCAAATACTCCCTGATTTACTGTCGACTCCCTGCATTTGACATATGCAGGAGTCCATGTAGAACGCCCGTGAAAAATTCTGCCATACTAAAACTAGTTCGGTTCCGGCAGCACGGCCTCGACCGGGACATTACCGTATTTTTTCAGCTAATGTCCAATGAATATTTGGCAGACGTGCAACGTTGTTAATATCCTTTAATCGTCTTGAACTTCAGACGCCCTCATTTTGCTGCGGAATCCCTCTTTTGACGCGCGTAGCGGGCAGTCCGTCCAGACTCCCATGTTAACAGTTAATTTCTACCCCTGCCCTATCCCTACTAGTCACCCCCGACCTGCCTGCCAGCGTCGTGCAGGGCGGCGCGTATGGCCGAGTACTGTGCAGCGTGACGTCATAGCCGACGATCTCCATGCATCTGGCGAGTTAAATGCTCGGCAGCTCGTAGATGCAGAACGTGGATCGCGTTAACCGCCGCTGCCCGACTGAGACTCGTGCTCTCGTGAACACATTACACACATGTATAAACACATATACACACATGCACACACATGTCATAAACACATACACATGTAAAAACACACACACATGCAAGCCCGCACGGCACACACACACACACACACACACACACACACAGCGTGAACGTATAATCTCACACGGTCAGACCACAGGTCACATACAACACACAATGTATAAACACACACACACACATTTCTAAAACACATACACCACACATGCTATAAACACACACCACACACACATGTATAAACACAGTACACACACAGCTAATAAGCACACAACACATCGCTAATAAACACATACCACACACATGTATAACACACCACACATGTATAAGACACACACATATTTGTATAACACACACACATGCTATAAACACATACACACATGTATAAACACAACACACATGTAAAACCACATACCACACATGTATAAACCCAAAACACATATGTATAAACACGATACACATGTATAACACACACACACACATGTACTAAACACATACACCGCCACATGTATTAAAAACACACACACATGTGATAAACACACCAACATGTATAAACACATACACACACATGTATAAACACAGCCACAGTATAAACGACATACACACACATGCAATAACACACACCCACACATGTATAAACACACCATACATGCTATAAACACACACACATGTATTAAACACATACACACACAATGATAAACACACACAACACATGGATAAACACACACACACTGTATAAACAACAAACGACACAGGCCTATAAAACACATACCACGCACATGTATAAACACATACACGCACATGATATAAACACATACACGCACATGTAGAAAACAACACACACAGGCTATAAACCACATACACGCACATGTATAAACACACAACACACACACAGGTGAACGGTAATAATCTCCACCGACCGATCCAGACACAGATCACATACCACACATGTATAAAACACATACAGCACCATGGCATATAAACACACACACATACATGTATAACACACACACATGTATAAACACATACACACACACATGTAGTAAACACACACACATGTATAAACACATACACACACATGCTCATAAACCACACACACATAGTATAAACACAGTACACACACCGCAGACACAGTTCACATACACGCATGCCACGAACGGCGATGCATGCATACCAAACACACACGCACGCACCACACACACACACGCGTACATGTATGCCACGCACGCACACACGCACGCACACGCCACACCGGGATACTGGGCGGATGGGGAGGTGTGAGATGATCAGGGAGGAAGGCTAGGGTCAGAGGTAAGCGCGGCGAGGTACCGGGATGGCAACGACGACGACGACAATGACTTACTCGCTGCAGCGATGAAGGCTCCGTGATGTCTGAACGTCATCAGGGGCTCCGGCAAATTCCTGAAACAACCCGAGACGCGAGAGGCGTGAGAACGCAGCATCCCGCAGCATCCCACCGCCCATCCCCCGACCCCCGTGGCTTCACTGACACTCAGGCAACATTTAAAAAAATCTTAGATTAGGCTCCTCCCCAGGCTGAAAAGTTTGGGTAGGTAGGTCGGCTTTTTTTTTAGGGCGGGGGTCTTTTTACAAATTCAGCATGGTGTCTACATGCTCGGGTGTGCTTGTGTGGCGATACCTTTTATGTTGAATGTTTGTTTAGCTTGGTACACACAATGTATTGCCTACTGATTTATATAATGTACAGTGATACAATTTGTTAAAAAAAAAGAAGATCAATAAAAATTTTTGAATCGGCCCCTTTTTGGCGGGTCGGTCGGGTGAGGGCAAACAAACAATATTTTTATTATGGCCTCACTTACTCGCGATCCCTCCCCCCCCCAGCACAGCCAACGCTCTCTATACCATCGTGAATTTCACTTTTGTATCATCGTTAAGTTTTCTGTTACTCGTGTTCTCCACTGTCACCACGGCGCACGCCACTCTTCCCCTGCACGTGCGCAGTGCGAAGCGAGCGTGTAGGCCAACGCGAGAATCAAAATATCAAATCGACGAAAAAAATTCATCAGAATGAAAAGAAATTACCCGCTTGGAGGTCGGCCAGCTCGGCTCGAGGCATGGGTGCGTTTTACTGCCGCGCTTTGCCGCGCGAGAGGTTGACGACACTTACCTAAAGTACTGCTTCAGTGCACTAGTGATGGTCTTGGTCTCCCATTCAGGGTCGTCCATGCTTAGTTTATCTGCTTTCCTACGGTCTGCGAAGCGACAATAGAACATCCATCAATGACAAGAACCGTTAGAAACTCTTTACCTTGTTTTATTCGATCATTTTTATCTGTATTGTTAAGTTTTACTTACTCAAGTCACTAAAATAAAAAGCATTCGTCAGCTTGCGTGTACATGCATGTGTTTGAGGCAGCATGTACGTGCACATCTCTGTACACGCGTGTCAGAGTTTGTGTGCGTGCATGTGCAGCGAGCAAACCGACTAGTACCGCAATCTACCGGCAGGGGGCGCCTCTATGGCGTCGGCATCATGCACGCGCGCGATATCGACGACAGACAGGCAGATGGACACTTACGATGTCGACAGGACGGAATCTATCGACTGCCGTTTCCTAACGTTAGCAAGGCTGCGTGAAAAACAATGCAAACACAGGGTTGACCGTCAGGGGGCGCTGTGGCGGCGCGGGACGGTACATGCGTGCCGAACGCTCTCTCATGTCGTTGAGAAGGGAGAGGACGAGAAGGAAGAGGGCAAAAGTGAAAGGAACATCATTAAGGAAGAGAGCAAGAAGGAAGGGGGCAACAAGAAAAGAAACGAGAGTGGAAGGAACAAGAAAGACGAAGGGCCAAAATAGGACGCGCAGAGGTAGAAAAACCGAACAAGAGGGACATGACGAAGAATGGATGAAGACATCTCTTACGCATATCTGACCCGCATATCTCATCCACCCTCCCCTCCTCTATCAACACGCTCTAAACCCCTCTTCTAACATCCGCGCGAGAAAGACAACGTTAGAACATGCTTCGTAACGAATGCGAGTTAGATACATTCACGATGAGGTTAGAGGGACTAAGCAACACGTGCTGCTATCTATCGCGAGCATGCGACCTCGCTCGCGAAAACTCTCCCGAAACTTACATCTGCTCTGGTCTTTGGTAGACAGGATAAGATGGTCCGTACTTTAATACTGTAGAGCAATAAAAAAAAAACTTTTTTATATTACGTACATATTAGTTACGAATTACGAATCAACTCTGAAACCACATGCACAGAAGATACAGTATATACACTCGCTATAGTACGCAATTATTGTATCGCCCGCCACCTGGAAAACCCTCCTTCACTCCTCTTCCGCCTCCTCCCTGCTCTGCTCCTTGCTCCATCTTTCTCCCCCCTTCTCCGTCTCTCCTCCTCCCCCTCTCCTTTCCTCTTTCTCCTCCAAGGAGAGCGAGCGATATGAGAGAGAGAGAGAGAGAGAGAGAGAGAGAGAGGGGAACGAGCGGACAAGACAGACAGAAGAAGAGAGAGAGAGGCGAGAGAGCGAGAGAGCGACAGAGAGAGAAGAGAGAAAGAGAGAGAGAGCAGAGACGAGATGCAGTAGAATAGAGAGGGCTGCCGAGCGAGCGAAGGAGCGAGAGAGAAGAGAGAGAGAGAGCGAGAGATATAGAAGAGAGCACGAGGGGTGGGGGGTAGATGAGAGAGAGAGAGACGAGAGAGGACGAGAGAGAGAAGAGAAAGAGACAGAAAGAGAGAGAGGGGGGGAGATCAGACAGCACAGACAGAAAGGAGCGAAAAACGAGAAAGCGAAGCAAAACCTTCGACCATGTTTAACCCATCTACGCAAGCCAGGATTTCTACCGAAATTATCGTCGCTGCCCACGGCACTCGCAAAACCGCAACGGAACCACATTAAAGGAAAAATAAACTTTAACCGCAGAAATCGAGCGAGACGACGGAACCGACGCGCGCGCCGGCAGCAGCCACAGCCGCCGACCTGCCAACGGCGTGGCGCCCCAACCTGCCTACTGCGTGGCGCCAAACCTGGCGTGCTCAACCGTTCACGATTATGATCTGGTTCGGCGTTCGAACGACAGCTCCGACTCGTTCTCCGCGTCGGCACATGTAGATCGTGCGCACATCGCGTCTGACCCAAACAACAGACACACACATCTAAACTTCGGACATCGAACTGCGCTCGCAATAGGCAAGCTAACCGCGCACGCACGTAGAGCCTACTGAGCGAGGCACGAGATTCGTCGCGCGTCCGTCGTTGGAAACAACGAGCAGTCGGAACGTCGGGAATATCAAACTCACCGACAGCTGCTCGGAGTGTTTTCAACGACGACGACAGAAGCGGGCAGCGGTCTTCGATTCTACCGAGTCTGAGTCTTAGCAAGCGGAAGAAGTCAGCCATAATATTTACTTACCAGGGTTTACGGACGTTGGCGTCTCAACACGACATTAACTCGATAACGGATCGAGGAGAAGGCGCATGATTAAGATTTAGCGATGGAAATCGGGCCGAGCCGCCACGAACAGTTTACTTCAAGTTCGAGTATTTTGACCGTATATACAGGCGATTGGCAGTACCGACCGGAGTGGCCGGGCAACGTAAGGCGCAGTCTCTAGCGAGAATACATGATCAACGTATTTATTAACAACTATATATATCTTAACTAGCGAATTAATACATGAAGTATAGGTATAATTAAAAATGCATACGCTCCATTAGTTAACTGAAACCATATTATAAATTTACCTGAACCTTATAATATTATAAATCGAGCTATCATATTTAGCACACCGGATCATGGATAACCATACCATTTCAGAATTTAACTTAGCTTCTTATAGTCATGAGATTCCATCTACCTGCACTTTTATTCCATAACGTCATAACTAATTCACTAGTAAACTATTACAACGATATCTCGCAATTTAATCGGCTGCTATTTAACTGACAACAGCAACGCAAGGCCATGCGGGACAGTAATTTTGCGCTGCCCGAGCCCGTGGCCACGGCCCGAGTGTCCCCGAGCGGTGGTATAGTTCGCGGCAGTGTCCTGCCAAGAGGGGCCCTGCTTTCCAAAACAGGCAAGCAGCTGAGAAAATCTAGACCAAGAGAGGCAAGCGGATTGAGGCCTCGTGCGCTTCCTTCGCCTAAAAGCGATCGCCATCTACTGGACCATAATCAGCTGAAACGGCTTCCGCAGATCCCGAAACTCCAAAGACAATAGAGACACTAATTCTGTTGCGTAGGGTCCTCTGCCGAACCACCAAATTGGGGCCAGAATAGCGCTTCCTCTCCTTGTTTAATATTTCAGCCTCCTTGCCTCAACGCTACAGATTTTGATGCAAGCAGAATCCAATCCACGCCTCCCATCACCGAGCCGCGTCCCCGCCCAGATGACGAACTACCAAATTCCGGAAGCCTTCCCAGAAGAAGCGGCGTGCGAGCGACGCGCTGGCGCTGAGAGGGCCGCATGGGGAGGGGCGTGATGGCAGATGACGACATACACATACGCGGCCGTGAAGGCCATGACTGAGCTATCAGGCCTGCTCCTGTCAGACTAGTAAACTTTGTCTCGCGAGACGTAGACCTTCTGCGCCTTCGGGCTGTGAGAGCAAGCCCTGACCCACCTGCGAGGCGGGGGGGCGGGCCGTAAAGTACGGGTGAGAGGCCACCGTCAACCCCATGGCCCGGTCAATCGGCGTAAGAAGGCGCGGCCGCGAGGTGCATGAGGCGGGCGTCTAAGATCAGCAAGGCTTACTGTAGTCCGCAGCCACATTGACCGGCCGCGTGCAATAGGATATATAGCGCGAGAGCAAGCGCCACAGCGAAGCGGGTTGTAGTGGACGGCGGCGCAGCATTGGAAGGCGAGCCTGCGGGGGGGGCGGGCTGGGCGGGGAAGCGCCGGGCGGCTGCGCGGGGCGTCGTTAGACAACAAGCGCAGCCACCCCAAAAGCGGGGGCCGGCGGGATGACGACTGTAGTCTGCGACGCCTCTCGTAGATGATTCGCTTGTATGCTCCCGCCAGGGCGGCGCAAGCCTAAGCTGTGTGAGCAGCCAGCGAGCCAGCGAAAGCGATGAGCGGAGAGCGAGAGAGTACGATGACGCGGTCGTGAGAGCGTGGAAGAGAGACGTACGTCGTAATTAGGATTAGGAACACTCCAGCGATCCGCGCGGCGCGCGTTAATAGGACGGAGACGCGGATCGAGACACGATGCGACGATGCGTAGTGAAAGCGAGAGTGAAACGGAGGGCGCGCCGGTGAGTGCCGGCAGGATGCCGGGGCGGGGAAGTGAATAGGGGTACAGCATACCATCACACGGTCTCCCCAATCCTGGTCCCTCTCCTCCCCCAACCTCGTCCCTCCTCTTTCCCCAGCTGCACCCCTAATGCACTTTCCCTTTCGCGCGACAGCATGTTAACAACATGCAACATGGAGACAAGGCATCCATGAGATACACAACCCCCACACACGCACATGCACGGCACGTAAACAGCGGCCACACACGTAAGAGACGACCACACGCTGGCAAAGTGTGCAGGCAAGGCAGGGTTTAGGGCAGGCACTACCGCCCACACACGCACCATGCAACGCACGCACACGCACGAGCACAACAGCGCGGAACAGGGAGAACACGACGACCACATGCACGCACGCACGGCAAATCGCACGTAGGCACGCACGGGGGGCATGCGGAGACACGTAAGCACGAGCCGGAGCTGCCACGCGACGCAGCGCACGACGCCACGCACATGCACGCAGCATGCACGCACACACGCACGTAAGCACCCACAGGCACCGTAAGCACGCACAACCCGCAAATGCAGGCAGGTCCAGGCACGCACACCATGGACAATGGCAGGGCACGCGCGGCAGGAACAGCCCAGGCCCACATCACACACACTACAGCACATGCGCGCGACACACAGACGAGCAGGGCGAGCGGTGCGAGCGAGTGTCGTGGAATCTGGGCTCGGGCGCGATGCGGAGCGGCCTGGGATGCCGGGAAATTGCAGCAATGGGTGGATACTGGCCGCCCCGGGCGACCGCTGCACGAGCCGTCCGCGCGGCGGAGCGCGGCGATTCTCTGCTAGGCCGGGGGGATCGGATGCACGGTAGGGCGTGGTGCGCTGAGCGCTAAGATATGGCAAAGGTGAATCGGAGCCAATGTGCGTGAGTCCCGTTGGTTCCCGTTGTGTTACTGCACCGCAACACACACCACACACTATGCTTTCATGCATAATCCAGATTAGGTGTTTCAGTACGAATTTAAACCAATCATAATTTTAATAATGTTAATTTTAATAAATTTTATACCAAACAACGACAAATGACGACAACCTCGGAAGGGATTCTCAACCCCGCGAGAGACGCTTGCAGTATGTGCGTGGGTAAGTTGCGTGCGATGTGGTGTGTCATGCGCGTAGACGCCGGCGCGTGTACAGCATGTGTTTGAGGCAGGCATGTACAGTTGACATGCATGTGTTTTGAGGGCAGCACGTGCGTGTACATGCATGTGTTGAAGCAAGCATGTGTCGTGACAGCATGTGTGTTGTTGCATGCAGTCGCTTTGAGGACAGCATGTGCGTGTACATGCATGTTGGAGGTCAGCACGGGCTTGTACATGCATGGTTTTGAGGCAGCACATGCGTGTAATGCAATGTGTTTGAGGCAAGCATGTCGTTACATGCAGTGTTTTGAGGCAGCATGTGCGTGTAATGCCTGTTTTGAGGCAAGCATGTAAACGTGGTACATGCAGTGTTGAGGCACACGTGCGTGTCACATGCATGTGTTTGAAGCAGCAATGTGCGTTGTACATGCAAGTGTGGAGCAAAGCCACGTGCGGACATGCACGTGTTTGAGCAGCATGTGCGTGTACATGGCATGTGTTTTGAGGCAGCATGTACGTGTACATGCATGTGTTTGAGGGCAGCACGCGTGCGTGTACATGCATGTTTAAAGGAGCGAGCGAGATGTGCGTGTACATTGCATGGGTTTGAAGCAAGCACGTGCGTGTGCCATGCTATGTGTTTGAGGCAGCAAGCATCTGCGTGTACATTGCAAAAGTCGTTTGAGGCACGCATTGCGATGTACAGCATGGTGTTTTGAAGCAGGACACGTTGCGTGTACATGCATGTGTTTGAAGCCAGCACCTGTGCGTGTACATGCATGTGTTGAGGCAGCAAATGTGCGTGTACCACTGCATGTGTTTGAGTCTACAATTACGTGTTACATGCATGTTTTTGGCATCGCCATGTGTGAGCGGGCAGCACGTGGCGTTACATGCAACGTGTTTGAAGGGGCAGCATGTGCGTGTAACATGCATGTTTTGAGGCAGCATGTACGGTACATGCAGTGTTGAGGCAAGCCAATCGTGCGTGTAGCATGCGCATGTGTTTGAAGCAGGCATTGCGTGTATCTATGCAATGTGTTTTGGATCAGCACGTGCGCTGGTGCATGGCATGTGTTTGAGGCGCAGCATGTCCTTGTACATCATGTGTTTGAGCAGCATGTACGTGTACAGCACCGTGTTTGAGGCAGCGCATGTGCTGTGTAACCACTGCTATGTGTTTGAAGCAGCAATGGCGTGTACACATGGTTTGAGGCCAGCATGTTGTCGTGTTCACATGCATGTGGTCGAGGCAGCAACGTGCGGGTACATGCATGTGTTCTGAGGCATGCATGTACGCTGTACATGCATGGCCTTGACGAAAAAAGATGCATGGTTCTGGAGGCGCACGTGCGGTACATCATGTTTTGAAGCAGCAAGGAGAGAGAGAGAGAGAGAGAGAGAGAGAGCGAGAGAGAGAGAGAGAGAGAGAGAGAAAGAGCAGCACATTGCTTCGGTGCCGTGACTACTACAGTACTAGTATATTTCCACATGTTCCCCCATGTTACCACTATATTGCTCCTACGTTGCCGCGAGTTGCCCCAAGTTGCCACGCGTTGCTCCCGCGCCGCCGCCGCCGCCGCCGCCGCCGCAGCGCGTTCGCCTACCTATGTTGCCGTAGATGGCCATTCGCTGCGTCTTGATGGCTGGCTGTGACCGGCTCAACCCCAACACCACCGCCGACGGCACCGACGTCGCCATCATCCCCGCCACGCCCTCGCCACGCCCGCCGCGCGTCGGGGTCAGCGGGGTCACGGGCGCGCTCGTCGACGGCTCCTCCTGGTGGCCGCGCATCGCGTACTCGCTGTGCTGCCGCGCCGGCTTCGCTGCGGGAAACAAGAGAACGGCGATTTTTTCGCGATTTGCGAAGATCGGTCGGTTCGGTCGCCTAGGAAAAAACGACGGGTTTATTCGCTGGAGAAATTTGAATAATCGAGTTTCATTTATTTATTCGAGAGGGACTATTTATTATTGACGAAGGCTAATTTATTTATTCGAGGATGGCGATTCATCACTGAAAAAAGCCGATTTAATTTTCACGGAAAGATTATTAATTATTCACGACAAACGATGTTTCATTATTTAACGATCATCGAAAATATTGTAAAAAAAAATTTTTTTTGTCTGAAAGATTTGGGAGACGGATATTGTTCCCGCGCGCTTGCGTGTCTCACCACCAGGGGGCGGCTGCGTGCGAGGGCGGGCCGGCTTCTCGATGTAACGGTGTCGCATGATCGGACTGCTGGGCGGCCGACACACCGCGGCGTTCCGTGTCGGGCTGCAACGACAACACGGCACGATACACGCCAACATAGCACGCGATGGCACAAACCGTAACGACGCGCAATGCAACGCTATATATATTTATATCACCTAACACTGCTACTCGTGCTACTACTAATATTTTATTACTTACTAAAAACGGTTAATTGCTAAAAATGCAGAACAATTCCAGGCTTACATCACTATATAGGTTAGGGTTAGGGTTAGGGTTGGGGTTTAGGGTTCGGGTTAGGGTTAGGGTTAGGGGTTAGGGTTGGGGTTAGGGGTTAGGGTTAGTGGTTAAGGTTGGGGTTAGGGTTAGGATTAGGGTTAGGGTTAGGGTTAGGATTGGGGTTAGTGTTAGGGTTGGGCTTATGCCAACGCACCACATCCCCCTGCACCTCTCTTTCCCCTTCTTCCCTCTCCTCTCTCCTCCCTCCTCTATCAACATACGTACCTCACATTGGGTCCTCCTCCTCCTCCTCCTCCTCCTCCGCCTCCTCCGCCTCCTCCTCCGCCGCGCGTGGGGCTAGATCCCGAAGCGCTGTCTCGCGGACTCCCCGCGCCGCTGCTCTGACTGATCACGCTCTCCTGGCTTCTCGTGTCCGCGCTGATGCGTCGCCGTAGCAACACGTCGCTGCCGTCCGGCGGACCCTGAAAGATCTGCGCGCCAACGGAATAATTATAAATCGCAGTAAAGTCGTTAATTATTTGCATTGGATTGACGAATGATCGACGAATTGTTTCGAATTGAAAACGACCCTGAAAGATCTGCGCGCAGACGGAATAATTATAAATCACGGTAAAGTCGTTAGTTATTTGTATTCAATTAAGGAATGATCGATGAATTGTTTCGAATTGAAAACGACCCTGAAAGATCTGCGCGCCAACGGAAGCGGGGATTAATTAAAAATCGGGGGTGAAGTCGTTAATTATTCACGTTCAGTTGACGAATGATCGACGAAATGTTTCGAATTGAAAACGCGCGAATTGGTCGTTGAATTATGTATTCATTGTCACATGATCACATGTATTCATTGAATTATGTATTGAAAGCGCTCTTCTCCTCTCTGTTCCTCCCTTCTCCTTGCCAGTCTTCCCTCCTCCTCTTCTGCTCCTCTTCCTTCCTTCTATGTCCACCTCCAAAGTTCTCCCTCCTCCACCCCTATCCTCACTCCTCCCCTTTCTTCCCTCCTCCCTTCCCTTGCTCTCTCCTCTCTCCTCCCTTTTTCTGCTGTCTCCTCCCCGCTCCTTCCCTCTCCTCCCCTCCCTCCTCCTCCTCCCGTTGCCGCGGCGACGCGCACCTTGTCGCAGGTTCGTACGAGCAGCTCGACGACGACATTGCAGAACTTTATCTCCATGATCGCGGCGACTGTCTCCTCCTCCTGACGCATCAACGTCGGGCCGAAGCAGACGCCGAGGTTCGCGGTCGTCATGAGGTTCTTGTCGCTGTGTTCCGCGACCCTGCAGAACATACAGTGAACATACGATGAACAACGGTGAACAACGGGGGAGGTGGAATAAACATCAGTGTCGGGCCGAAGCAGACGCCGAGGTTCGCGGTCGTCATGAGGTTCTTGTCGCTGTGTTCGCCCGACCCTGCCGAACACATACAGTGCAACAAGTGGTGAACAAGAGGTAGTGATGAACAACAATGAAACATCAGCGTCGCCGCGAAGCCAGCACGCCAAGGTCGCATCGTCATCTAGTGCTTGTTCGCGTGTCGCCAACCCTGCCGCGAACATACAGCTGAACAACGGATGAACAATTGGTGAACACACAGGCTAAGACAAACCATAGCGCCGTGTGATAAACCCAAAATCGAATTGGGCCCGATAACAGTAGGCGAACAACACAGCTTTTTCTACTACCTGTGCCCAGCTTTATAACCCTAACCCTAACCGAACCCTAACCCTAATTATGTATACCCTACTCCTATCCCAGGTGCGGAAATTTAACGGGCAGTCCGCAGTCAAATACTCCCTGATTTACTGTCGACTCCCTGCATTTGACATATGCAGGAGTCCATGTAGAACGCCCGTGAAAAATTCTGCCATACTAAAACTAGTTCGGTTCCGGCAGCACGGCCTCGACCGGGACATTACCGTATTTTTTCAGCTAATGTCCAATGAATATTTGGCAGACGTGCAACGTTGTTAATATCCTTTAATCGTCTTGAACTTCAGACGCCCTCATTTTGCTGCGGAATCCCTCTTTTGACGCGCGTAGCGGGCAGTCCGTCCAGACTCCCATGTTAAAAGTTAATTTCTACCCCTGCCCTATCCCTACTAGTACCCCTGACCTGCCTGCTCGTGTGCAGGGCGGCGCGTATGGCCGAGTACTGTGCAGCGTGACGTCATAGCCGACGATCTCCATGCATCTGGCGAGTTAAATGCTCGGCAGCTCGTAGATGCAGAACGTGGATGTCGTTAACCGCCGCTGCCCGACTGAGACTCGTGCTCTCGTGAACACATTACACACATGTATAAACACATATACACACATGCACACACATGTCATAAACACATACACATGTAAAAACACACACACATGCAAGCCCGCACGGCACACACACACACACACACACACACACACACAGCGTGAACGTATAATCTCACACGGTCAGACACAGGTCACATACACACACATGTATAAACACACACACACACACATGTAAAACACATACACCACACATGCTATAAACACACACCACACACACATGTATAAACACAGTACACACACAGCTAATAAGCACACAACACATCGCTAATAAACACATACCACACACATGTATAACACACCACACATGTATAAGACACACACATATTTGTATAACACACACACATGCTATAAACACATACACACATGTATAAACACAACACACATGTAAAACCACATACCACACATGTATAAACCCAAAACACATATGTATAAACACGATACACATGTATAACACACACACACACATGTACTAAACACATACACCGCCACATGTATTAAAAACACACACACATGTGATAAACACACCAACATGTATAAACACATACACACACATGTATAAACACAGCCACAGTATAAACGACATACACACACATGCAATAACACACACCCACACATGTATAAACACACCATACATGCTATAAACACACACACATGTATTAAACACATACACACACAATGATAAACACACACAACACATGGATAAACACACACACACTGTATAAACAACAAACGACACAGGCCTATAAAACACATACCACGCACATGTATAAACACATACACGCACATGATATAAACACATACACGCACATGTAGAAAACAACACACACAGGCTATAAACCACATACACGCACATGTATAAACACACAACACACACACAGGTGAACGGTAATAATCTCCACCGACCGATCCAGACACAGATCACATACCACACATGTATAAAACACATACAGCACCATGGCATATAAACACACACACATACATGTATAACACACACACATGTATAAACACATACACACACACATGTAGTAAACACACACACATGTATAAACACATACACACACATGCTCATAAACCACACACACATAGTATAAACACAGTACACACACCGCAGACACAGTTCACATACACGCATGCCACGAACGGCGATGCATGCATACCAAACACACACGCACGCACCACACACACACACGCGTACATGTATGCCACGCACGCACACACGCACGCACACGCCACACCGGGATACTGGGCGGAGTGTGAGCGATGTCAGGGAGGAGGCGCTAGGTCCAGAGGTCAGCGCGGCGAGGTACCGGGCATCGCGCGACGACGACGACGACGGATGCACTACGCGCCTGCAGCCCGCATGAAGGCGTTCCGTGATGTCCTGAACGTCAATCGGGGCTCCGGCCAAATTCCTGAAACGACCCGAGACGCGCAGAGGCCCGTGAGAACGCACTTCCCTGCCGCAGCAGCCCCCGCCAGCATCCCACCGCCATCCCCCCGACCCCCGTGCCCTTCACTGACACTCAGGCAACAATTAAAAAAATTCTTTGTTTACGGCTCCGACCCCAGGCTGAAAAGTTTGGGTAGTAGGTCGGCCCTTTTTTTTTAGGGCGGGGCTTTTTACCCCAAAATTCAGCATGGGCTCTACATGCTCGGGTGCTGCTTGCTGTGGACATCACCTATTTATGTTGAAGCTTGGCTTTAGCTTTGCGTACACACCAATGTATTGCCTTACGATTCATATAATGCTACAGTGATACAATTTGTTAGAAAAAAAAATCATAACAGTTTTTTGGAATCCGGGCCCCTTTTTGGCGGTCGCGGCGCAGGCGAGCAAACAAAACAATATTTTTCATTATGGCCCTCACTTACTCGCCGATCCCTCCCCCCCCAGCACAGCCCAACCTCTCTAACCATCGTGAATTTCACTTTTGTCATCCATCGCCTTAAGTTTTCTGTTACTCGGTCTTCTCACTGTCACCACGGCGCACGGGCCACTCTTCCCCCGCCCACGTGCGGCATGCGAAGCGAGCGTGTAAGGCCAACGCCGAGCAATCAAAATATCAAATACGACGAAAAAAAATTCATCAGAATGAAAGAAATTACTCGCTGGAGGTCGGCCAGCTCGCGGCTCGCAGGCATGCGGCTGCGTACCGCCGCCGCTTTGCCGCGAGGGGTTTGACGCACGCTTACCCTAAAACGTACTGCTTCAAGTGCCACTAAGTTGCAATGCCCGTCTTGCGTCTCCCATTCAGCGAGTCGCTCCATGCTTAGCTTTATCTGCTTTCCTACGGTTGCGAAGCGACCAATACGCAACACATCCAATCAAGACAAGAACCCCGTAGAAACTCTTTACCTTGTTTTATTTTGGAACTTATTTTCATCTGTAGCGCGTTAAGTTTTACTTACTCAAGTCACTAATAAGCATTCGTCAGCCGAGTCAGTGTCACAACTACTCACTACACACATCTGTTACCATCATCATTAGCAGCAGCAGTTAGCACCACAATCACTTACCTAGCAGCAGCTGCCAGCAGCCCAGCAGTAGCAGCAGCAGACAGCAGCCAGCAGCAGCCAGCAGCACGTGTAGCAGCCGCCGAAAGCAGCAAGCCAGCAGCAGAGCTGCCCAGTAGCCACCACAATCACTCACTAGCCAGCAGCCGCAGCACCAGCAGTAGCAGTGGAGCAGCAAACAGCAAACAGCAGCAGCAAAGCCCAGCCAAGCAACAGTAGCGGTACAGCAGCAAGCCCAAACAGCAGCAGTTAGCACGCCCAAGCACTACTAGCAGCAGTTCAGCCAACCAGCCCGAGTAGCAGCCCAGCAGCAGCAGCAAGCCAGCCAGCAGCCAGCCAACCAGCAACGAGCAGTCAGCAGCCCAAAAAGGCGCAGTAACAGTAAGCAGCCCCCCCCCCTACCACCCGGCCTACCCCCCCACCCACTACTACTCCACCGAGCACATCTGCCTAGCAGCTTGGTAGGCCCTTGCGCTGACTTCCGCCCCCTCCCCTCCTCCCTACACCTCCTCACCCCGCTAACCACCCCTACACCTCCTACCACCCACATACACTCCTACCTCACCCCCTACCCACCACTTACCACCCTCCTACCACCTGCCTACCACCCCTACCACCCTACCACCTCCTACCACTCCTACACCCCCCTACTACTCACGCAGCCCATCCCTGTAGCAAGCTTAGTGGCCTTGCTGCTGACCTCCGGCGACGCGATAGGCCTTGGTCGTTGAGCCTTTGCTCTCGATCGTCGCCGATGCACTTCCTTGACGAAGTTCTGAAGCCGATCTCGTCGAGCTATCGTGTCGCGGGAACTTCGCCCCAACGACGCTGCCCGGAGCCGCGTAGATCTCATATCGACGCGAGAGAGATAGAGAGCATGTAGCAGAGGGGACGAGCGGAGAGCAGAGCGGTAGAGGAGAGAGAGAGAGCCAACAGAGGGCCAGAAGAGAGAGGCAGAGAGAGACTGAGAGAGAGAGAGAGCAGCAGAGAGGAGAGAGCAGAGAGCAGAGAGAGAGCACACCGCAGACGGAGAGAGAGAGAACAGAGCGAGAGAGAGGAGAGCAGCGAGGACAGAGAGAGACGAGAGCAGAGAGAGCCAGAGAGAGACACGAGGAAAGAGCATAGAGAGAGAGAGAGAGAGAGAGATGAGCACGGCGAGAGAGAGAGAGCAGGCTGTAGACGAGAAAGTAGCAGGAAGATATAGAGATACGGAGAGCCCAGAAGAGCACGTAGAAATTAAGACTGTCGAGGAGAAGCCAGATAAGAGCGAAAGAGAGAGACAGATAGGAGAGTCGAATGTCGAGTCGAGACGAGAGAGTGAGGGCGACGGGACCGGGCGAAGAGAGAAAAGCAGAGGAAGCCAGGACAGCCATGACAGGCACGAAAAAGAGCGAGCCAAGAGAGATACGAGAGCAAAAGAGTAGAATAAGTGTACCCGAAAATTGGTTTAAAGAGGCGACCATTGGGCTGAGGGGAGAACGCGAGCGCAGGAGGGGGCAGGCAGAGAGAAGGCACAGAAGAGAAAAAAACAGGAGGAGGAAGTTCCCTTACCGGTTCCCTGCATCCATCACGTCCATCCACTGCCTACGCGGTCTTCATCTGACAGCGCTTGTAGCGTGTACACGACGCCTTGCCTGCAACAGACCAACGCACGCGCGTTAAATTGACTACGCTCACGAATTTTCCATGCTAACATTTGTAAAAAAAAAAAAATTCCCATTTTCTTGTACATTAAAAGTAAGAACTAACGCTTACTAAAAGATCCTCAAACTCTCACCTGAAAAATGTTTTACGGCTGGTTAAATCTTGCAAAAATCATCTAGACGATTTGCGCTCAATTATCCTGTTGTCTAACACTCATGCCCCACGCTACTGTTCAGAGTACTGGCCATACCTCTCGTTTTTTTCAACGGCCAAATATAGGGCATATAAGAAGGTATCATAAAAGCATGAAAGTAACCAGGAAAACACTAATTGTATTTCAGCATTTTATTTTGTACAAATAACACACAAATATACTACTTGATGGTGCTAGAAATTCGTGACGTAATCACTTTAAAGCCTGGCGCACATTGCCGAACATTTTGCTCAAAAATATTATCGTAGCAGTGTTCCATGAAATGTTCGGCAATGTGCGGTGAAAAAAGTCGCCGAACATTCGTTCCGAACAATGTTTCTGAAGATCGGAAATGCTTGATGTCTCGAACAATTCTAGGAACATTTGTAAATGCCTATCACGCCGATTGGCCACACGCCGATCACGTGACTCTTTACAACATAGCTACTAGACGACGCCACGAGGTTGTTCGCTGCAAAATGTTCGGCAATGTGCGCTCAGCAATTGTTCACCCGCACATTGCCAGACAAAAACATTTGTTCGGGAAAATGTTCGGCAATGTTCGGCAGGCTTAAGCAACGTAACCAGCACGTGGTCGAAACACACATCCTACGATCGATCGGTCAAGAATCGTCGAGTCACCACACTGACAAGCGTTGAGAGTTGATGAATCTATCCTATTCTTGCTAGTACAGGAGTTTAGGAGATATAGTGGTGCACTTTATGCTACAATTTATGCTAGAAGAGCATGTACCTATTCTCAACTATATCTACGTTTTATCTAATATATTACATATACGTACCTATATCCATGTTTATCTTGTATCTACGTACTTATCCTGCGCAGTAATATATTACTACACAGAGAGAACATACATACCTTAACTAGACATAACTAACTATGACTAACATACAGGCTCTACCTATTCTTACCTATATCTACGTTTTATCTTATATATTACATATACATATCCATCCTTACCTATATCTATGTTTATCTTGTATCTACGTACCTATCCTTACCTATATCTATGTACATATGTACCTATCCTTACCTATATCTATGTTTATCTTGTATCTACGTACCTATCCTTACCTATATCTATGTTTATCTTGTATCTACGTACCTATCCTTACCTATATCTATGTTTATCTTGTATCTATGTACCTATCCTTACCTATAATTCTATGTTTATCTTGTATCTACGTACCTATCCTTACCTCATATCTAGTTGTTTATCTATGTAAGTCTACGTACCTATCCTTACCTATATCTATGCTTTATCTTGCTATCTAGTACCTATCCTTACCTATATCGATGTTTATATTGTATCTACTGTACTATCCTTACCTATATCCTATGTGGTTATCGTGATCTATGTACCTATGCCTCTACTATATCTATGCTTTATCTTGTATCTACGTACCTATCCTTACCTGATATCTATGTTTATCTGTATCTACAGACTATCCTTACTATATCTATGCTTATTATCTGTATCTTATGCTACCTATCCTTCCTACCTATATCTATGTTATCTTGTATCTATTGTACCTATCGCTTACCTATATCTATGTGTTTATCTTGTATCTATGTACTATCCTTACCTATAGTCGTATTTATCTTGATATTACGTACCTATCGCTTACCTATATCTATGTTTATCTTGGATTATGCTAACTATCCTTACCTGCTAAATTATCGTATTATGTACCTATACTTTAGTTTATCTATTTGTACTCATACCTATCTACCTATATCTATGGTTTATCTTGTATCTACGCTACCTATCCTTACTACTATCTATGTATTTTATCTTGTATCTATGCTACTATCCTACCTATCTATGTTTATCTTGTATCTACGTACGTATCCTTACCTATATCTGATGTTTTTATCGTTGTATCTACTACCTTATCCTACCAATATATCTATGTTTATCTTGTATCTACGTACCTATCCTTACCTATATCTATGTTTATCTTGTATCTATGTACCTATCCTTACCTATATCTATGTTTATCTTGTATCTACGTACCTATCCTTACCTATATCTATGTTTATCTTGATCTATGTACCTATCCTTACCTATCATCTATGTTTATCTTGTATCTACGTACCTATCCTTACCTATTCTATGTTTTTATCTTGTATCTATGTACCTATCCTTACCTATATCTATGTTTATCTTGTATCTACGTACCTATCCTTACCTATATCTATGTTTGTTTATCTTGTATCTACGTACCTATCCTTACCTATATCTATGTTTATCTTGTATCTACGTACCTATCCTTACCTACTATCTCATGTTATCTTGTATCTAGTACCTATCCTTACCTATATCTATGTTTATCTTGTATGCTACGTACTATCGCTAACCTATATCTATGTTTATCTTGGTTCAATGTACCTTATCCTTACCATATATCGCCCGCCCCCCCCCCCCCCCCCCAGGAATTTGCTCAGCCTCTGCCCTGAATGTGATCGTACGAACCGCCGTCATGTTTCCTCGTTGATCCTGCCGCTGATAAATGCATTTTAGAAGGTGCGGGAAAAACTTCACGACAACCGTATCTGTCTTACATGCTTTTAGTGCTATCGTTTATATAGAGTAGAGGCACGAGAAACCAGTACATATGGATTAATTTAACGGATGGAGAATTCGTCGATATCGGATATCACCGCTCAACTGAATAAAATGTATATAATCATTTAGTATGGGCAGTCTCACAAAAACAAGAAGAATCATACACAATTACAAATTCAATATCAGTTGCTTACTAAAGCCCGGCGCACACGCGTTATTTTACTCAAGTAAAATGCGCACGAGTCAATACTCAACAAAAATCCGCCGCACACAGTGAGTAAAATACTCATGCGTCATTTTACTTGAGTAAAATAACTCACGTGTGCAGCCGGCTGAAGTACTACACAATACTGATTTGTAGTCTTCATCACAATTCAGAATGCCGCGTTTGTTAGGAAGCTGCTCTAAAAGTATCGCATACGTAACACACACCGTTATGTTAACAACGCTGTCGGCGCTGTCTGCGTACATAGCCGGCTCTAGTCGTTGACCGACCGGCAAGCAGCCTTTAAATAACAAAATCCTTCCGACCGGCACAAAAAGTGATTGAGTTTGCGTAATTACCTTCAAAATAGTGATCTACAAATAATCACAACCAGGAACACTATTGGCCCCTGGACCCCTGAGCCGTGAACCGCTAACATTGTGCCTGGCCTACATACCCTGGTATCATATATCTTGGAAAGGGATACGATACTATCCTATCACAATTACCCATGCTATCTTATAAAAAGAACCTACTTAGAACCCAGTGCCATACTGTGGCCCTGGACGGCTTATGCGCGCCAGGGAAAGGTTTCCGTGGTAGATTACTGGCCAGGTTTGTGCATTAACACGAAGCAATACCGCCCCCCCCCCCCCCACACACACACACACATCAACTCAAGTTAGAACCCACATTTATCAATCTTACTAATCAACGAGTAATTCAATACGAAATATAAACAAGAAGCAACATTAGCTGGCAAGTCGCGATTTCATACCAGGCCTGTAAAGACTATGAATTTGCAAAACGCTTGAATCCTTGTTTTATGTTTGCCTGTATTTTCTCATATATACGTAATGATGCCAAAGTATTTCCAACCCTCTGTAAATACGTATGTGTAGACCACTAGAGAAGCATTCAGTTTAAGCAAGGGAGGTAACTGGTCTCTAGTCTATAAAATAGCAATAGAAAATTTCAAGCTTTTAAATATGTTCAATTAATATAAGGTGACATCATTCCTGATATAAACAATCAGGAATTGTTTATATATATATATATATATTACAAGCAACCTCTTTTTAAATTTACCTTTGATTATAATAACATAATTTAATGAAACATTTCACACATGATTAAAATTTCATCCTCATATGAGCCAAATAAATGTAAAATGCAGTTTATTGAGAGCAGTAAACCTAATCCAATATCATGCAATAACCCCTTCACCTATGTATATGGGGGGTCCCACATTACATAGGGTTAACTAATCTTGACCTAGCATCAAATTTAACCCAGTAACACTCATAGGGTCTATGTCCCCCAGGGTACTGCTGGAACGTACCCTGGGTACAAGATCCAGATACCTGGAACGTACCCTGTCACGAATCTGTATGGTTAGCGTTAGAGAGTAGCTACGGCAGCTGACTTCCCTCAGACTCGTCTAGCTGGAGTAGGGATGGGCTATATTTCAGGCCGGTACGGGAGATTACGGCTACGCATATATTTGCCCTTAATATATGACTAATCGGCGCTGCTCAATAAACTCAACTATTACAGAGAGTATAGACTAAGACATGGTCTATAGGTATCTAGATAGTAATTAATGCATACATTTGAGCTCCCGTAACCGGACTTAGAACTTCATATACTCTCTGTATGAATATTGCGTTTATTGACGCACGATTAAGTCAATATAGCAAAATATGCGCAGCGGTATTGGAATTACAGATTGATTAAAATTTCTAAATCTAATACTATCAACACCAGTCTTACCTTCCTCTGCTAATATGAGTTCTAGTTGATGCAACGAATTAGTCAAGTATATTGACAAATATCATGCGTACACCACTAATCTCCCGTAACCGGCCTGATATAGAACACTCCCAGTAGGAGTAAGCAAGGTACGCGCCGGCATATATGATGCCCACCAGGTAGCGTTCCGCCGATATACCGGACCGTACCAGGGTACGTTCGGCAGTACCCTGGTGGGAGAAATAGACCTCTCAGCCCCAGTAACTATAGACTGAGGGAGTGGCGGTCTAGACGAACAAACATTTTTTACTTTTGGATGCTGAAAGATAGCAAAAACCTGCACACCTTCATCATTGTTGATAGTACAGTAAACACGAGTATGTGGAAAAAAGCGTGATTACATAACCTTCC